TGCTGCTGCTGCTGGTGGACACAATGGTCACTTGCTGCTGCTGCTGCTGGTGGACACAATGGTCACTTGCTGCTGCTGCTGGTGGACACAATGGTCACTTGCTGCTGCTGCTGCTGGTGGTGGACACAATGGTCACTTGCTGCTGCTGCTGGTGGTGGACACAATGGTCACTTGCTGCTGCTGCTGCTGGTGGACACAATGGTCACTTGCTGCTGCTGCTGGTGGTGGACACAATGGTCACTTGCTGCTGCTGCTGGTGGTGGACACAATGGTCACTTGCTGCTGCTGCTGGTGGACACAATGGTCACTTGCTGCTGCTGCTGCTGGTGGACACAATGGTCACTTGTTTGTTTACATATACAGTATTCATAATTCTCTCTTGGTGTGTAACTTTTTTTGTTCCTTTATTATAACATAACAATACAAATATAAGGCTCGGCACCGAAGCACCACAACACTGGCGAGCACCACAAGACACACCACCAGCGACAGAGAACCAGTCCAATACAAAACAATTACTCCAAACCAAATACATAAATACAAAAACACCATAGAAATACAAGTTCAGGAATTAGGGCAGAGCACAACTGGGCGTATAAAGCGGGACAGAACTACACGAGGGAACACTGTTAAGGCACAGCAAAGACACAACCAGGACCACACAACATGTAAGCACAGATTACGCAAGAGAAAATTAAACACGCAGAAAGGCCCTCAACAAATAGAGGCCGTGTTGGGAACCCGACTCCACCGTCGGAACATGGAGCAGCACGTCAACGCCATCTGTGAGTCCGCTCCCTAAACCCCCCCCCCCCCCCAAAATGGACGACGCCATCTGGTGGTGGCGGTATGATACCTGCAAGAAAGATTCCTGCCTCAGTCAGCCCGAAGAGTCGCTGTAGCTGACCTCTGGTGAGGTGGCGCCTAAAAATCAGCGCCATCTATTGGGATATGAGTTGTATGTCAATGTCAGAGTCCGTAAGTGGTATTTCCTAGTGTCCCAAGTACTGGCCAGTTTTCTGATGACGTGTCTGTATCCACAGAGGCGACGTAAGACTGCGGTGGTACGGAGACAGTTGGTCTACCCAGGGCAGCCTATTATCTCTCTACTCCATTCTGCTTTACGTTAGCAGTGAGCCGCCGCCGAAGAGGAACTGAGTAGTATCTGCTGTCTGCCTGTGAAAGTGGCAGTGACAGAATACGGCGTATCCCGGGACTGGCCAAAGGAAGAGACGACCGACAGTGAGGTGCTACGGAGGAGTGTAACTAGCTAGTTAAAAGAAGCTCCTGCCAGGGGGTTCGCTACCCTTGTATTTGTTCGTGTAGAGGCCCAGCAGCGCGAGGCTGATGTTCTCTGCCAGCACCGGGCTGGAGAGTGATTGTGGGCGTTCACAAGGAGCACCTAGTGAGACTGTAGAGAGGCTGGCCCATGGCTAGGGTAGACTCGTTGGTGTTTCCCAGTACTGGTTGAGGACGGTACTGTGTGTTGAGGAAACACGGAAGTTGACAAGGCTGCATTGTATGAGCATCGAGGAGCGCTTAGTGTCCTATGAGACCGACACAAGTGTATATATCAGTGTAGTAATACTTCGTTTATGATTCTATTTAAGATGATGGGAAAGTGATATGTGAATATATTGATAAAGGATGAAGTGTTATATTTCTTTTAACTCCCCCTTTGTTTTTGTTTTTTTACTTGCATTACCAAGCCTACTCCTTAAAAGCCACTACCGACTTGGGGTCGGATACTAATACTTTGGTTCCTCCAGCAAAGAACCCGGTTGTGGCCATAATAGGCCGACACCTCCACCAACTCTAGGAAATACATGGAAATTATAACTTCCAACATGATAAAGCGTAAAAAAAAAAATCATTACACATCATTACAAAGATAAATAAAATAGTACAACTGACCGCGGTCAGAGATTAGTGGTACAGACAAGAACGGAATGAACACATTCCAAAATCAGAACTGCACCATACTCACCACTCGTACAGTCTTGTCGAAGCAAACAAGAGGAGGAAAGACACCTCAGACCCTCACAACAAGACATACACTTGCACGGAATATAACAATAAACCGCACACTTCCAACTCTCATGACATACAAAGCAAGCAACAAGTGGAGAGAAACACACACATGCTAGATTAAGCAGAGCCACAGCTCCAGCACACAAGCCAGTAAACTCTAACCAACATGCGGCGGGAGCTCCAGCAGTACCGGAACACCAACCCGGAAAACACTCGCAAAACTCTGAAGAATGGAGGGTTAAGGTAATCCCTTAGAGGAGGGGGAAGATAGACCCCTGCAGCAACACCAACCACAAATCACGGCCATGGCGACCACCGTCACCAGTCTCAACAACTCCCCACCTCGACCCACCCTGACATGGGGGCCCACAGGCCGGTACCAGCGAGGGAGCAACTTCGCCCTGTCTATTCCACTACACCTACACCCTCAACCACCACACTCTGCTCATCCTCCGTCTGCACATCCTCCATTGGAGAGGTAACTGGAGACGTCTTTTGTGACACGGGGGAAAACCCAACTCCTAGAGACTCCACAGGTGGAGAAACCTCACCATACCTGCTCACACCAAAGTAGAAGGAAACGCCTCCACCACCACCACAGCAATCTGCACACTGTGAACCTCCACTGGCACATTAAACTGCACACTGCCCGGCAGGCTTATCCTCAACCACACACACTGGCTGTCCATTGACCACCCGGTATTACAGGGCGCTCCACCGACTCCACACACGCATCTGAGACACTCGCACAAACAGGCCCAACTTCCGGAAGGCTCGGAGGCAGGACACCACCACCAGCAAACTCTGCCTCCTGGAGCTTCTGGAGTCTTGAGAGGCAGAAAATCACATTCTCCGAAGATACTGACTCGGTCACCCCCCAAACAGAGCACGCCGCCGCTGCCAGATGACCCGGCAGTCCACACCTATAACATGTATGGAGCTGGCCTGAATACAGACAGTGGAGTGTAAACCCCATCAGGGATATCGAAGATGGTACATTCTGTGCCATGGACACAGTCAAACCCCTAGTGCTAGCAAGCATCCCTTTACAATAGCCAGCAGAGACCTCGTCCCATCGTACACTTAGCACTTTCCCAACCTGCCTTGTCAATAGCCCATCAGTCATTTCAAATGGGGCCCCATGCACCACCACGTACGTCAATGTCACTCAAGTTGACCACTCAGGCACTCAGACGGTGCCTACACTATCAGGCAAGGGAAAAGAATATCCCTCACACCGATCGAGAAATTCCTGGAACACAGTCTAAGAAATCTGACCACCACACGGAGAAACTGAATGAGCTGAATGCCCATCAAATCCGCCAACTGGACACTAAGCTCCTACACGAGCGCAACTCCATTTGTCGTATGGTCCACTTTTGTAGAAAACTCTAGTCCAGCTGAAGTAGTCTGCTTAGGGGGAGGCAATAACGACACCATCCTTGAGCACCTGTATCCTGCACCAGCAAGATACCACACAGGGCACGGACCAGTCACCCAACCTCCGACCCCACGCCTCACTCATCAATTGAGGACAAATACGTGGGTACATCCGTACCCTCTGACGGCCAGGCAGCGACAGCATGGTGTATATCTAGTCTTAACCTGATTATTATTTATAGTACTTTGCCGAGGATGAGTGTCAGTGATACTGGTCAGTGTTAGGTGCTTTTTCTTTATCCTCATTCTTGAAAATTGGTACTACATTTGCCTTTTTCAGCAGCTGGGCAACTATCCCTTTGTGGGTGACTCATTAAGGATCCTTGGTAAAGGCACACTGAGGACCTGTGCTGCCTCTTTTAGTATCCATGGTGACACGTTGTCTGATCCAACTGCTTTAGTTTTGACCAATGATGCTAATTGTTACTTTACCTTCTCTGCTGATACTTAAATATTGGACAGTCTCTGATCTAGGGTCACCTCCTCTTCTAACTATGGAAGTTGTTCAGGCTCAGTTGTAAGCATGAAAACTGGCGTTCAATGCCTCACAGATCTCTGTGTCGCTTTCTGTATGTTCCTCTCCTGTTTTCCATAGTCTTGTCACTTGGTTGTTCAATGTCAGTTTCCTTCTTATACGACTATGTAGTGGTAGTGGTTGCTTATTTGCTTTGATAGTAATATTGTTTTCATAAGTTGTTTACAATACTCTTCTTATATTTATGCAGTCATTCCTAGCTCTGTTGCATCTATTCCTGTTGTCCTCTGTCCTTTGTCTTCTGTACTTCCTCCACTCCCCTCCTGCTTTTCGTTTTTACTTCTTAGTACGGTCTACTGAACCATGGGTTATTATACTCTCTCATACCTCTGTTCAAATTGTAACTCGTAAATGCTTCACCCACGTACTTCAAGTACAAATAATCGCCAATAGAACCTAAACACATAACCTAACCTACATCAAAATATGCACAATATGTTAATATATAATAATTTATATTTGAGAAAATTCATATTTTGAATGAACAGCATGTTAAAATAGATGAACGCGTCTTTGGGGTTGGTCGCTGGATAGAATGAAGATAACCTCAAGCAGTCTGTCCTCATCAACAAAGGCCAAATGCTTGTTAATACAACTGCCAAACTCAGTTAATGAATGAAAAACGACTTACACATGATTCAAAATTGATGATGATCGAACATTTCTCGAACGGGTCTTCACTGACGGCCATTGTTTGAACCGCAACTCGGTAAATGATTCACGCAAGTAATTCAAATGCAAATAACCGCCAACTGAATTTAAATATGTATCTTAACCTATGCCTAATTATATATATAACTCTTATCTACAATAATATTTATGAGGAAAATAGTATATTTAATACACAATTTGATACAATTCATTGCGTCTTTGGGGTCGAGGACAGGCTGAGGACGGGGTAGCAAACGGCAACAAAGCAGTCGTGGGGAAATATTGCGGTAGGAATAACAGAATTAAATAAGGCAGACAGCATAGATGTGGAGGGAGAGCTTACCTTGGGTCGGCGCCAGTGGAAGGTGAAGGGCGGCGTCTGGTGGTAGAAGACAGAGGTCTGAGAGGCCGGGAAGTCTGGGTCCTGCCACAGTTCCCGCCGCTCGCTGCACGCCTTCACCACCCGCCCGTACTCCGTCATCCTCCTCCTGCGGCAGACACCATTCGCTCAGACACTCCCATACTACTTTTTTTACATTTTTATTTAATTTTATTTATAAATATACAAGAAGTCTTACATTCTTGAAAAGCTACTAGCATGCATAGCATTTCGGGCAGGTCCTTAATGCTAATTTTCCCCGGAATACGACCTGCCAAATCGTTTAATAACCTGGAGCCAGATTCACGAAGCAGTTATGCAAGCACTTACGCACCTGTATATCTTTTCTGAATCTTTGGCGGCTTTGTTTACAATTATTAAACCGTTAATGAGCTCCTAAGTACCAGGAGGCTGTTTATAACAATAACAACAGTTGATTGGAAAGTTTCATGCTTGTAAACTGTTTAATAAATGTAACCAAAGCGTCAAAGATTGAGGAAAGATGTACTCGTTCGTAAGTACTTGCGTAACTGCTTTGTGAATCTGGTCCCCAGGTAACCATTCACTGCTGGGTGAACAGAGGTGTACAGTAAAGGATTGGTGCAAGTCAATCCTCCTCAGCCAGGACACAAACCCAGGCCAAATCGCTCGCAAAACAACCCATCCTCTGACAAATTACATCGCTTTTCGCTCGAATGCGCACTCAAGCTAAAAAAGGATTTATTGTAAAATGGAATCGGTTCATGAAAGTGATGTACTGTCCTGTTTTCTGTTTTGGGTCCTCTGGCTCAGGTTGTTAGATTAGGAGAAGACGCTTTCAATTAACGGTTTTCATGGTGTTTTGAAGCCTTAGTTTTGAGTTTTCATGGTGTTTTGAAATCTTAGTTTTGAGTTTTCATGGTGTTTTGAAGCCTTAGTTTTGAGTTTTCATGGTGTTTTGAAATCTTAGTTTTGAGTTTTCATGGTGTTTTGAAGCCTTAGTTTTGAGTTTTCATGGTGTTTTGAAATCTTAGTTTTGAGTTTTCATGGTGTTTTGAAATCTTAGTTTTGAGTTTTCATGGTGTTTTGAAGCCTTAGTTTTGAGTTTTCATGACGTTTTGAAGCCTTAGTTTTGAGTTTTCATGACGTTTTGAAGCCTCAGGAGAACTTGCTGCCCTCCTAACCTACCAGACCACCTAAAACATGCTGCTTTGGAACAAAAAAATCCAAGTTTTGTTTAAAATTATTTTTCATGTTCAAATTACGATCTTTTTTAGTTGAGCGAGTATTTTACCATTGCGGCACGGGGACCTCACACAGTATTCACAAGAAGCATTTACTGAGGAATTTGGACTGAGTCTCATTATCCAACTTGTCCTCTTACTAATTACTTTTTGTTACCACTAGCCACTAACTAGTGACAATGATGACAGGAGTGACCCACCGGCCACTAGCAAGTGATGTCGGAAAACCGACACCATTTACTAATTTTCAATACATTAGGCAGATAATATTGCTGCTAATTTACCACTAACAAATTAACTCAAAGAAAGCAAGAGTCCAATGGAATTTTCCCCGGAAGAAAATGGGGAAATCATTGCTATGTCGCTATTAAATTCACCAGCTAATAATATTGTGAATTCCTCTTAAAACACCAGCCTAGCATTAGAATCAATAAAAAGTATCCTCTCTGACTGACTCTAATGTAATTACCAACAAGTAACAGCGAAGAGCTGCAACCGGACACAACAAATGATGCACCTCCGGCCGAACCAACCTGTATCAACAACCCAGGGACCCCTCCGGAAAGCAGCAGTCTCATTCTTCGCCAGAAAAGGAGACGGCTGCAAATAAACAAGCCTGCCGCCAGGACCAAAAGAGCAGAAACATCCGTGCTGGAGAAAAGAATAAAGCTCCCCAACCCGACCCCTCAGAGGCCAATGCCAACAGGAAAAGAGCCTTCACAAAACAATCTTGAACCGAAGAGGCCACAAAAAACCGAGGAAAAGATAGAAAAGAGAGCACCTGGTCCAAAGACCAGGACGGCTCAGATAGCTCATGAGCAGGCTGGAGGTGAAACAACACACGAGACAGCTTGCGGAACAGATCAGAAGCAACATCCACCCTGATGGCAAGCTGAAGCGGCTTCACCAGTGCCGCACGATACGAGGCGACAGTATTTGGCATAACAACACAGTCCTGAAACTTCATACTGCCACCGAGACAAGACACGCAGCTGGGACACCATCAATGAAGCCGCCTGCTCACCATACAAATGGTGATAAACCCGCATCAGAAAGACCAGACACAAAGACTTGAGGAGAAGATCGAACTAGCCATGTAACAGACTGGCCGGATCTGCTGACAGATGCAAAGCCGGGCGAAGATCCCGGGTTCGGACACTGAGCAAGCAGCGCCTGAAACCAAGCCTGGGCCGGCCACCAAGGAGCCAAGAGTAATACTCTTCTCTGGTAAGTCTCCAAGTGATCTATGACATGGAGCAACAGTGGAACCAGGGAAGGGAGGGGGGGAAGAGGTACTGGTAACCCCACCTCGACCAGTGCTGCATGAAGGCATCGACCCCGACAGTCTCGCAGTCGGGGAAGGGCGCCACATATACTGGTAGAGGTCACGACCACACCAACACAAAGTCCACCCCTGGAAGCCCGAACGTCCGGCAGAGCCAACTGGATGAGTCGGTGTCGACCGCCCATTCCATGGACAGGGGAATGAACCAAGACAGGCCGTTGGACACCCCCTGAAAGTGAACGGCCAGGAGAGCCAAACCACAAGAACTAAGCAGATGAGCCACCTGAAGTGACCAGCTCCAAAGAGCCAAGGACCGCATCGAACCCCAACAGTAGAGGCAATCAACCACCCAGGAGCAGTCTGAATGGAGCCAGATCGTCAATCCGCAAGTGACCCAAACCCTCCGAAGCGACATCCACACTGCCCTGAGCACCTGCATCATGCTATGAGCCAGATGGAAGGACGGACCCCATCGCCCCTGGCAGGCCTGGTGAGCACTGGTCACAAAGCCTCAACCAAGAGACGACACGTCCTTGAGCACATCAAGCGAGGACTCGGGTAGATAATAAGACACTGAACCCCCCCAAAAAACGAAAAGGAAGCCGATGACACAGCAGTCGACGTAAGGCACCCAGAGGCCCAATCCAGCCATTGCAAGAGAGGTGGAAAGGGACGTCCCTGAAGGAACCAGAACTGCCACCGAACCCAAACCTGATTCGGCGGGTAGACCAACATGGCAAAGTTCAGATTCATGCTCAAACCCTCGGGCAACCACCTCGTGACCCAGGAACCCCCCAAAACAGGCAAAGGCGAGACTGCAGCTGCAGCAGAACCTCCGAAGGGAGACACAAGGAAGCAGTCCGAGAGTCCCACACAAGACCGAACCTGAGAGGGACCCAGGTGGGACTTTCTCCAGTTCACCAGCTGGGAAAAGAACCAAATCCCTGGCGAGCAAACATGCAGACTGGATGGGAGCCCACACCATGGTTAAAAGAAAGAACCTGGCTGTGGTACGTGACAGTGCTGACCTGACTGTGGTACCTGACAGTGCTGACCTGACTGTGGTACCTGACAGTACTGACCTGACTGTGGTACCTGACTGTGCTGACCTGACTGTGGTACCTGACAGTACTGACCTGACTGTGGTACCTGACAGTGCTGACCTGACTGTGGTACCTGACTGTGCTGACCTGACTGTGGTACCTGACTGTGGTACCTGACTGTGGTACCTGACAGTACTGACCTGACTGTGGTACCTGATAGTGCTGACCTGACTGTGGTACCTGACAGTACTGACCTGACTGTGGTACCTGACTGTGGTACCTGACAGTGCTGACCTGACTGTGGTACCTGACAGTACTGACCTGACTGTGGTACCTGACTGTGGTACCTGACAGTGCTGACCTGACTGTGGTACCTGACTGACTGTGGTACCTGACAGTGCTGACCTGACTGTGGTACCTGACAGTACTGACCTGACTGTGGTACCTGACTGTGGTACCTGACAGTGCTGACCTGACTGTGGTACCCTGACAGTGACAGTGCTGACCTGACTGTGGTACCTGACAGTGCTGACCTGACTGTGGTACCTGACAGTGCTGACCTGACTGTGGTACCTGACTGTGTTACCTGACAGTGCTGACCTGACTGTGGTACCTGACTGTGGTACCTGACAGTGCTGACCTGACTGTGGTACCTGACAGTACTGACCTGACTGTGGTACCTGACAGTGCTGACCTGACTGTGGTACCTGACAGTACTGACCTGACTGTGGTACCTGACAGTGCTGACCTGACTGTGGTACCTGACAGTACTGACCTGACTGTGGTACCTGACAGTGCTGACCTGACTGTGGTACCTGACAGTACTGACCTGACTGTGGTACCTGACAGTGCTGACCTGACTGTGGTACCTGACAGTACTGACCTGACTGTGGTACCTGACAGGCTGACCTGACTGTGGTACCTGACAGTGCTGACCTGACTGTGGTACCTGACAGTACTGACCTGACTGTGGTACCTGACAGTGCTGACCTGACTGTGGTACCTGACTGTGCTGACCTGACTGTGGTACCTGACTGTGGTACCTGACAGTACTGACCTGACTGTGGTACCTGACAGTGCTGACCTGACTGTGGTACCTGACTGTGCTGACCTGACTGTGGTACCTGACTGGTACCTGGTACTACCTGACTGTGGTACCTGACAGTGCTGACCTGACTGTGGTACCTGACAGTACTGACCTGACTGTGGTACCTGACTGTGGTACCTGACAGTGCTGACCTGACTGTGGTACCTGACAGTGACTGTGACCTGACTGTGGTACCTGACAGTGCTGACCTGACTGTGGTACCTGACTGACTGTGGTACCTGACAGTGCTGACCTGACTGTGGTACCTGACAGTGCTGACCTGACTGTGGTACCTGACAGTGCTGACCTGACTGTGGTACCTGACAGTGCTGACCTGACTGTGGTACCTACCTGACAGTGCTGACCTGACTGTGGTACCTGACTGTGGTACCTGACAGTGCTGACCTGACTGTGGTACCTGACAGTACTGACCTGACTGTGGTACCTGACAGTGCTGACCTGACTGTGGTA